CTTATGCTCCAACCAGGAGCCACGACGTGTCGAAACATGTAAATATGGCCTCGCGGCCGCAATTCTTCTCCCCGTCGGGAGCCAATTCCCCACCACCGTTGATGACGTGTCTCATCTGCACGCCGCGCAACAACTTCGCGGGTTGTGCTGCAATTCTTGTTGTCGCAGTCTCATCAAGCAGTATGGTGGTTACCACTCGGACTGGCGACTGGAGCCGTATTACTGGGGCGATCGCAGGAAGTGCCGTGCGCTGCGTTACTGACTTGGGGTTCGGCTGAACCCCGTCTTAGATTGGACTGATTGGATTGTTGCGAGGAGGACCCCTCTTAGATTAGGTGTGCGGTGTGCGAGGGCCTCGAGTGTGTGTATACTTCGATTGTCGGGTCCCATTCACCCCATAGTGTGTTTTGTGTGCAGGCTTCAGAGTGCATTAGCTTGGAGTGTAGTGGTGATTTCGAGGCCAAGTGTGGCCATGGCTGCAGGTTTACGAAGAGGACCTAGGAGTCGCCGCACCATCTACTGGAGAATTAGTGTGACATAAGGTGTTGCCTGAGTGTGTTTGTTTGTTGTGTGAAGTTATATTTTTTTGGCTTGTAGAGTTGTAGTTTGAAGATCCGTGTCTTCACATGTTGATCCGTATCTCATGCATTAGCATATTTACCTAACATCCATAGTTAGCCCCCCATGACGGATGCTAAAACTAGGAAGAATTAACTAATAAGGAGTGAAACTTGTGGCATCCGTGACATGACCAACCGAACCTCTCTCCACCACACCTCCCTCCGCATTAGCAATATGTAGTTCACCAAAATTCTAGGCTCCGACTGCCACTTCACCACCATCGCTTCACCCTATTGACTAATCAGTATCTGACACGTCATTGAGACTTCTGTAGCCACCAAACGCGTCAATCTCTTTAGGTGCTTAGTGTCACATGTGCGTGCCACCTCACCGTGCATGTTATCACTGTATGGGGATGTTAGATACGCATAACGATTGTTACTGGCTGAAGCCATTTTACACGTGTCAAAGCATCTGTGCCGTCGATTAGAAAAGAGGCGATGGTGACGAGGGCCGATAGAGCAAGGGACACACGGAATGGCTGCTGATTGGCTTCATTGTTAGCCTGAAATTCTCATCTGTACCGTTCAATCGACCAAATGACAATGCATCTCTGCTCAACCGTTTGATCATTCCTGAGTGACGAAGATGGCGTTCACAGCAAGTTCCCCCAAAGCGAACCGATGTTGGAGGTGTTTGGATCAGCTTTGGGTAAGTAACTTTGGAAGGGCTTACACTAGCGACCCTGTGCTCCGAGGGGGCCTACAGTGCAAGTAGAGGGCACTTTCCACCCCTCCGTGCCTCAGACAGGGAAGTTATAGAAACAGGACAGGGCAAATCCCCACATTCACCCACGTGTCAACAATTTCCATGCAACCTACTGTACTGGACATCTGACCACCTGTGCACAGGTGGTCAGATGTCCAGTACAGTAGGTGGCATGGAAATTGTTGACACGTGGGTGAATGTGGGGATTTGCCCTGTTTTGTTTCTATAACTTCCCTGTCTGAGGCACGGAGGGGTGGAAAGTGCCCTCTACTTGCACTGTAGGCCCCCTCGGAGCACAGGGTCGCTAGTGTAAGCCCTTCCAAAGTTACTTACCCATCAGCTTTGGTCTTCCCTGAAGTGGTGTTATGTTCGGAACTTCGGTTCGGAGCTGTGTTCAGTGAATGGACTCCATGGCAGAATGATGTGGTGCTGCCTGCTTCCTCAAAGAAGTGGCGTCCGTGATTCATTTCATTACCTGCTTCACAGCGGCATTTCTGTCATCAGCAGAGCAGTTCTCGCGAGAAGGACATGTGACAAAGTCATCAAGATTTGTACATGAACACACTTGCCTCCCTGATGTGTTTCGCTCGGATATCTCCACCTCCTTTCCTCCAATTCAATCAACCGCCGCCAGGTGCGCTGATTTAGTCAATTCACATACCTCTTTCCAGATTGAGTTTAGTTTGAGCCTGTGCTGGCTACCAGGGCTCCGACTGCTATCATGCTATCTGGACGCGCAGATTGATCCAGTTTCATCAAATACTCCCGAATATGCTGACGGAGCGTCTCATGGCGGACCATATCCCGGTCTCTAACGTGGCTCCGCCTGACCGGTTTTATCTCGCTTATTTCATCTTCCTGCTGCTGGGCGTCGGCTTTCTCCTCCCGTGGAATGCCTTCATCACAGCCGTTGATTACTTCTACCTTCTCTATCCGACAGCCCACGTCGCGACGCTGTTTTGCGTCGCTTACATGTTCGCCAACCTCGGTACTCTGATTCTCGTTCTGTTGTGAGTAAGCGGCAACGAATTCAGCTTCTTCCAGTCTGCCTTTCCCCATGCTTTCTGTTCACCAAAGCCATTGTTTTGAGATTACCTTCTTTTTTCACTTTGTCTTTGTTTTGTTCTGCTTATTTTATTCCAGGTACGGCCAGCATGTCCCCTCTCGCACGCGCATTGTCAATGGCTTCATCGCATTCACTCTCCTCGTCCTCCTCGTCCCTGCGCTCGACGCCCTCTCCGCTCCCGGCGCCATCCCTTCCAACGCCGTCCAAGACGCAGATAGTCCCGCCGTGGCCGCGACTCCCGCCGCTTCGCCGCCGTTGGCGCTGGCGCTGACAGTGGCGGCGGTGGCGGCGTCAGGAGCGATAGATGCGGTGGTGCAGGGGAGTCTGTTTGGCATGGCGGGCGAACTGCACGAGCGATACACGCAAGCCCTCGCTGCCGGGACTAGTGTTTCAGGTATGTTGTGTTGCGACCTGCGGTTTAGGAGACGCTACTGGCACTTCAGGGGAGACTTCTAGTGTTTCGTGAATTCTCTAGTGCGGGATAATCTGAGCACAGCATGCGACGAAGCGAATGCGGTATTCTCCGCCGCGCCATCATACTGATTACTCGTTTGGCTCGGCGTTCCGCCACTTCGCCATGCGGGTTTGACTTTGGCGCCACATGGACTGACTGGGCAGTTCGTTCGTGCCGTCAGGCGCAGGTTGCGAGTGGTGGGTTGGCTTCGGCTGACCCGCTGCCTGCTCCTGTCATGCCTGCCTGCCGACCTGTCCACTCACAATCCAGTCAGTACAGCTGCATCTAGTTAACCCTCTAGTCAATCCCATCAGCTGCATCCCGCCTTGATCCGTGTTCGCTTCCTGGCGCTTTCTGGCTTTAACCTGTGCCTATACTCCGGGGCCCCACTGCCTCCCGGATCTCCTTGACACTCGCATGGTCCCTCAGTTTCCGTTCGTGTTCGCCCCACATCCCGTTGTCGCATGCAGGCATCGTGGTGTCCGTAGTGCGCATCTTGACGAAAGCGGTTCTCCCCAACACGCCAACGGGCCTGCGCCTGTCCGCGCACCTCTACTTCCTGCTCTCCGCGCTCATCCTGCTCGTCTGCCTCCTCGCCTTCCTCCGCCTCCACTCGCTTCCCGTTATCGTCTTCCTCCAATCCCAGGTCGCCGCGCTCGCCGAGGCTGAGCGCCGGGCTCGGGGCAAGGCTCGGAAGGAGGCTCGGCGAGCCGGGCCTGGCTCGGGAAAGGCAATCTGCCATGGTGGGAGTGGGAGAAGAGGGGGGGAAGTGGCGGGGGAAGGACATGCCGGGGAAGGGCGCATGGGGGAGAGTGTGGGGGTGGACAGTCAGGCGGAGGAACGGGAAAGGGAGGGGGAAGGGGAGGTTGCTGCGGAGGGGGGGTTGGCGGGTGCGGGTGAGGACGAGTCTCTAGAGCCGCTGGTGAAGCGAGAGGCGACGATAGAGGAGGAGCAGGTGATTCGGCAGCTGCTGCAGATTGAAGACGAGTCGGAGTGGTGGGAGCAGGAGCGAGCTCGGGACCTTACAGGCATAGAAGGAGAAGGAGAAGAAGAAGGAGCAGGAGCAGGAGCAGCAGTGACAGTAAGAAAAGCAGGAGCAGAAGCAGAGTCGGTGGCTGATGGCGCTCCGCTGATGGACGGGTGTAGCGCCAGCAGCAGCGAGATAGCCGAGATAGACGGGGAAAGGGAAGGTGAAAAGGGTTCAGAAAACGGAGTCTGTCAAGGCGATAAGGTAGAGTATGCGCTTGCACATGCACATAGTCACAGTCAGGCGATCAGCAAGGGCAGGTACTCTCATGGTCCGGGCAAGCCAAGGAGGCGGGTGTGGGATCGGGTGGTGTCCTGGTGGGAGCACACCTTTCGCTCTGAAGAAGCCATGTTGGCTGAAGGCAGGGCCTTTTCTCTCCACGTACACGTACCCTCTATAGTCGACTCCGCTCCCTCGATATACCGCCAGCAGTGGGAGGTCATGCAGCAGATTTGGCCGTACGCAGTGTCGCTCTCGGTAGTGTATATAGTTACGCTTTCTATCTTTCCGGGATTTATAGCGGAGCTTCAGTCTGACACGCTCGGCTCATGGTACCCCATCCTCCTTATAGGCATGTACAACGTGTTTGATTTCTTCGGAAAAATGGCACCGGTAGTTTTCCTGGTGACTGATTTGAAGGTGTTAGTGGCACTAGTACTGGCGAGAGGGGGGTTTTACATTCTTTACCCACTCTGTGTGTGGTGGGGCCCCCTATGGGCTCGGCACGAGGTCATCATTGCTGCTGTCACGGGGGCGTTTGGGTTTTCTAATGGGTTGTTGACAAGCCTGCTTATGATGGCTGCTCCGAACCAGGTGCCTCGGGACCGAGCCGAGTCGGCTGGTATGGTGATGGTTGTTTTTCTGGTGGTGGGTCTGTTCATTGGTTCTCTGCTCAGCTGGGCACGCCTTGGCTTCTAATCACATGTAACTTTTGTACATAATGTAATGTCTTGCCTAAGAGATTAATACCGTACTGGTAGTGAAAGCAGATGAGAGATCTAGGTGCTTCTGGGTAGCTACAAGTACTAGCTAGCCTCAATTTCCTTCTCTTTCTGATTACCATGCAGATTCAAACAATTGCATAATGTACATTTCTTGTACTAAGCAGCACCTTTCAAACTAATTCAAACAAGTGGCACCATCAGCTGTTCCAAAGCACTACCTTCATCATCATCTGCATCCCTTCCTCCTGACTCCCCACTCACTCCTCTTCCTCTCCCTCTTCCCACTGACAACCAAGGCCAACAGCAACACAGCCGGCTAGCAACCCCTCCCCCTTGCCCTGTCCCCACCACACTCCCGCCCCTTCCCTCTCCTGGTCCCCACACTCCACTCAACCCCCATCCCCGACCTGCATTCTCAGCCCCCCTAGCTCCGCTACGGTGGGTTGTTTCGTCTTCTAGCTGCTGCTGCAATTCCTCCACTCGTTCACGCAACTCCGCCACCCGCCTGTCTGCCGCCCGTAGCGACCGCTCTGCGGCTTCCCGGGCGGCAACTGCTGCTGCTGCCAGCTCGTCGCGTGACGTCAGCATGGCTTGTGCCTCCTCTGCTGCCCTCTGCCACTTCTCGGCCTCGCCTTCCAGGGTAAGAAGCTGTAGGAGGGGATTTATGGAATTTCGGAGGAGTTGAATGCGGTTGAGTGTGAATGGCTTGTGCCTCCTCTGCTGCCCTCTGCCACTTCTCGGCCTCGCCTTCCAGGGTAAGAAGCTAAAGGAGGGGATCTAAGGAATTTCGGAGGAGTTGAATGCGGATGAGTGTGAATGGCCTGTGCCTCCTCGTCTGCCCTCTGCCACTTCTCTGCTTCACCCTTCAATGTAACAAGCTGGGGGAGGGGATTTGGAAGGAGTTGAATGCGGTTGAGTGTGAATGGCTTGTACCTCTTTGGCTGCCCTTAGCCATTTCTCTGCTTCACCCTCCATTGTAAGAAGCTGGGGGGGGGGATTTGGAAGGAGTTGAAAGTGGTTGAGTGCAAATGGCTTGTGCCTCATGGCATGTGTGTGTGTGTGTGTGTGTGTGGGTGTGTGTGTGTGTGTAAGCACGTGTGTGTGTGTGTGTGTGTGTGTGTGTGTGTGTGTGTGACAGTGTGTACGCCCAGCCCTCTAATGCAATCATGCATCCCTTCTTCCCTCACCTGCCCGCGCATCTCCTCCATCTCTTCAGCCACTGCACTCCCAGCTGCTGCCTCCTCCTTGGCTGCCCTGTGCCCTGTGTATTGCCCCTCCCACCAACCCCCCCCTCCTGCAAAACAACTTCACCCCTACCCCTCATCCCTCACCTGCCCGCGCATCTCCTCCATCTCTTCAGCCACTGCACTCCCCGCTGCCGCCTCCTCCTTGGCCGCCTCGCGCCATCGGCCTGCCTCCGCCTCACACTCAGCCAGACTTGCTTGGAGAGCTGCAATCTGTGAGTGGGTGTGGGGGGGAGTGGGGGCTATTTTTGAGTCGACTAAAAAATCGGCCTGCCTCCGCCTCACACTCAGCCAGACTTGCTTGGAGAGCTGCAATCTGTGAGTGGGTGTGGGGGGGAGTGGGGGTTCATGACTGGGGCGCTGCGGAAGCATATGCAGTCTGCTCTGCTCCTCCCACCTCCTTGGCTGCCTCCCACCATCGGCCCGCCTCCGCCTCACACTCCGATAAGCTGGCCTGGAGTGCCGCGATCTGAGACAAGGAGTGGGTGCGTGCATGCGGGGAGGAGGGTGGTGGGTGGGTGCATGCGGGGAGGAGGGTGGTGGGTGGGTGCATGCGGGGAGGAGGGTGGTGGGTGGGTGCATGCGGGGAGGAGGGTGGTGGGTGGGTGCGGCCTCCTCCTTAACCGCCTGGAGTGCCGCCATCTGAGTGTGGGTGGACGTGGGGGAGAGTGCGTGGGGGGGATGGTGAAGCGTTAATGGTCTGCTCCTCCCTCCTCTTTTCTCGCCCCTCTCCTCTCGCAATCTGCCCGCCTGCACCTCACACTCTGATAGAATTGCCTGAAGTGCTATGGTCTGAAAGTGGGTGAGGGGATGGGGGTGGGGTGCGTGGAGTGGAGAGACGCTCGTCAAATGAGCCGACTTTGAGAACAACTCACTCTTAAATGAACCTCTTCGCTCTCACTCTCGAAGAGGCTTATTGATTCTTCAAAAGTCCCCTATCGCTCCCCCCACACTCACTCTCGATTTGAGTTGACTCAAAACTACGCTCCCCCCACACTCACTCTTGAAGAGGCATATTGAGTCATCATAAGGCTGATCGACTTCTAAGTCCCCTATGGGCTCCCCCCACCCACGGATCTGTGCTCATGAAGAAGGGCAGCAGTAGGCAAGGTCGCTAGGCCTTCATCATCAACTTCTAAGTCCCCTATGGGTTTCCCCCACCCACGCTCACCTGCTCTGCTGCACGCACCCCCTCCCTCTCTCAGTCGCCTGCCAGCATCCTTCTCCCTTAAAGCCCTCCCCCACGGTCACCTGTTCTGCGGCCCGCAACCCCTCCCTCTGCAATCCCTCCAACGTCTCTTTCAATAGCCTCCCTGCATCCCTCTCCTTCCCCTCTCCCTCTCCTATCGTCCTTAAACCCCAATCTCACTAACCTGTTCTGCGGCCCGCAACCCCTCCCTCTGCAATCCCTCCAATGTCTCCTTTAATCGCCTCCCCACATCCCTCTCCTTGCGCAATGCCCCTTCCACCTGCTGCAACTCAATTCTGGGGGAACACAGGGGGCGAGGGGGAGGGAGAGGGATGGGTGGACGGGTGGAAGGGTGGGTGGGAAGGGGACTAAGGTGCAATCGCCCCTCCAACGTCTCTTTTAATCGCCTCCCCGCATCCCTCTCCTTGCGCAATGCCCCTTCCACCTGCTGCAACTCAATTTTGGGGGGATCCCGGGGGGGGGGGGTGGGGATAGAGGGGCATATGGGGGTTGGGTGCGGGGTTCAGGGCGTGTTCCAAACACCAGAAAGCGTTCGAACCACATGAACCTTGGTGCAGTTCATTTTGCATTCACTATTTCTTCCATTTGGTTTCTTACGAGAGTGGGGTATTTTTGATGCAATACCCTCTATATTCACCCCTTCCATCTCCTCTGGACCTCGACCCACTTTGTGTGTCTTCACCTGACCTTACTCATCCCCTCCTTCCACTCCTCTTCACCTCCAAGTACCTCCTAAAACCCTAACCCATTCCTTCTTTTCTCCCTCACCTGCTCTTTTCCATCTCCTCCTTACTCTCCCTCCTCTCCTCCTCCACATGCTGCTGCAGCAGCTCTATCTCCCTCTCCTGCACCGCCACACCCGCAAACAGAAAGAACAGACATAGAAACAAAGGTTGGAGAAACCCAAACAAGGGGATACAAAGAGGTCAGGATCGGTACAAACAAAAAAATGCTTTCATTCAAACACAGATTTCACACAAGCACTCACATTGGTTGCGAGCTTCGTTTCGGCACTAATGGCGCGGCCCTGTGCCTCTCTCTCCTTGCTCCTCCAATCGCTCACCGCCCTTTCAGCCTCCTCCAACCGTCTCTCCACCCATTTGATCTCCTCCACGCTTCCCTCCCTCCCCTCCTCCTCCATCCCTTCCTTCCCTTCCGTGTCCTCCTTCCCTTCATTCCGTTCCCCACCTTCTACCCCCTCTCCAACTGAACCATCATTCTTTCCGCTCCTCCCAACCTTCTCTCTCAACCGCTCTAACTCCCCTCGCACCCTTTCCAAATCCTTCACCCTCCCCCTCTCCCTCCTCCTCTCCTCCTCAACCTCCCTCACTCTCCTCTCCGCCTCCTCAGCAGCCGCCCTCCATCTCCCCCCCTCCACCTTCCCCTCCTCAACCCTCCTCTCCCACTCCTTTCTCACTCGCTCCACCTCCTCCTCCCCTTCCTTTCTCACTCTCTCAACCTCCCTCTTCGCATCAGCAACATCAGATTCTAACTGAGAAACCTCCACAGCCATTGCCACTGCTCGCTCCTCCATCTCCTCTCTTTGCCGTCGCATGGACTTAGCTGCCAGCTCGATAACCGCTGAAACCCTCTGCACTCCTGCTTCAAACCTTGCCACCACGTCTTCTTCATCTTCTGCTGCTGCTTTTGCTGATGCTGCTCCCCCTGCTGCCCCTGCCGCTCCCGCTGCTGCTGTTGCTTGTTTAGCAGGGCTAGCCTCGTCAGTGGCACTCCCCCCCCTACCAGTACCAGTACCAGTACCACTCACTCCATTACCACCACCATTACCACCACTGCTTCCCTCCACTTCTCCATCATTCTTCCTCCCATCACCCATCCTCCCGCCACCCATCTTCACACCAAACATCCCTTCAAACAACTTCTCAACCCGCTCCGCTTCCCTTCCCAATCTCCCCACAGCACGCCGCACACTCCCTTCCACCGCCTCCACATGCCTCACAGCCGCCCCCCTCTGTAACACTGCCACCTCTCTCTCCTTCACCGCTGCGTCCCTCTCACCACTCAACCGTTTCGTAATCTCTTTCACCGCACTCTCCCGCTCCCTAACTGCTCCATCTCGCTCCTTTATAAGCCGCTCCAGTTTACCGACAGCCGCCTCTCTCTCCTGCACCGCCCGCTCTTTCTCCTGCACGGCCCCGTCCCTCTCTCCCCGAGCCTCATCCCGCTCCTTCCGAGCCTCGTTCCGATCCTTCACCGCAGCTGCGGCGGCAGCTTCGGCAACGGTTTTCTCCTCTTCCGCCTCCTTCTTTCTCTTCACCGCCTCCTCTACTATATGCCGCAGCTTCTTCAGCATCTCAGCTTTCGTTCTTTCCATCTCTGCCCGTTCAGCCTCTGCCCGCCGCTGCCCGTCCGCCGACCGGGCAGCTTCCTCGGCCGCGCAAGAAGCCTTTCTTTCTGCCCGTTTCGCCTGCTCCTCTGCAGCCACTCTAGCATCTTTTTCCCGGGCCAAAGCAGTCTTCAACTCATCCACCTGCTGCTGCCATTCTTCCTTCAGCGAACCTGCATCTGGGGTTGCTGCGGAAATCCCCCCTGAGGGGGGAGCCCTCGCTGTGGGGATGATTCCCACTGCACCGGAAGTGCCCCTTGGGTTGTCATTGGGTCGTGCCAGATCTACCCTTGCGTCTGTATTCTGCGCTGCTGCTGCTGCTGCTGCTGCTGCTGCTGCTGCTGCTGCTGCTGCTGCTGCTGCTGCTGGTGCAGCAATTGGACCGGCGTTCTGCCCTCTCCCCTTCCCTTTCCCCTTCTTCTTCTTCTTTCTCCCGCCCTCTGTCCGCCGGTCCCCTTGACCTTGCCCCCCAGTCCCTTCTGCTCCTCCTGCTCCCCCTGCTCCCCCTGCGGCATTCGTCCCACTCTCCAGCTCACCTTCCCGCCCGCCCGTTTCCTGTTCCGACTCATCCTCATTAGTAAATCCCTCGCTATCAGCAGCAAGCCCGTTAGGAGAGTCTTCGTTAGCAGATCCCACATGCGACAACCCACTCGCCTCCTCTTCTTCACCCAACCCGGTCGCCACTTCTACCTTTTCTCCACCCAACAAGCTCTCCTCCCTTTCACCAGCCTTCTCCGTTTCGCCTCCCTCTCTGTGCGATTCGTCCTCCTCTGCATCCCTTCCAAACCCACTCTCTTCCACTGCACCGCTTTCTCCCTCCCCACCCCCACCCTCCTCTGCTTCTTCCCCGCCTGCTCCGCCTGTTCCGCTTGCTCCGCCGATCTCCCACTTCCCAATCCGACCCTCCCCAATCAGCTTCGGAGCAGCCCCGGGAATAGATTCCGCTTGCGACGGCTGGGCTGGTTCGGAAATCGCGAGAACGGGAGGTGCCGCTAGAATTCCGGCGGGAGTCACGGCGGAAGCGGCGGAAGTTGCGACGGCAGACTGCGCGGAGGGCGCCGCCGGCCGGGCGATTGAAGAAAGGAGGGCCGGCCGCACTTCGGCAGCTTCGCGGAAATCGTCGTCGTCCGCGTCGAAAAGAGAGAGGTCCTCATCGTCGCCACCCCACTCCATCAGCTACGTACCTCGTTGACTATTTCGTTGATTTTCGTAAACTATGTCGTCAACTTTCGTTGATTATCGTTGATTATCGAAGAGAGAGAGGTCCTCATCGTCACCACCCCACTCCATGGACCACCGCGTTTACTTTCGTTGACTATTTCGTCAACTATCGTTGACTATCTTGCATCCATTCGCGACAGGATGAGCCAGTCCTATTATTCAATTGAAGAACGGATCAACACATCAGACGAGCCTGCGAGGTAGATTCGATTGCCAGGCTCTCTCTCGCTTCAGTCACACCTACTTCCTCAGTGCGCAACTGCTCGCAACCGAAGCGATGCAAATTGTGTTGTTGCTCACTCCATGCGCATCGTAGCGCCGCAGATCACATACAGTAGCTGTGATTGCGCGGCGGAGAGGAGCTCAACGGCGGAACACCTAGCACTGAATCCAATAACTTCAATTATGGAGTGGAATGGAAACTAGAATTGTCAGACGAATTTTCAAGCAGCATACGCGAGCTGTGTCATTCAGAAGAATCCTCGAGAATGTCGATATCTCACTAAAGAACGGCTTCGTTTGTAAACGAATGAGTCATGTCGTGTGGATTCGGGTGTGAATAGAACATGATACGAGTTATGTTAAACAATCATAATCAGCGCTACAAAGGCAAAATCGAAGTCAGTAGGTGACTCTGCAAATCACCAACCTAATCACCTAGAAGTAATGCGCCAGCGATTCATCGTAACAAATGTGCTCCCTGGTGACCATACACATGGTGCGACGATGCAACACCATAATGCAACCCAGTCATCCCACTACCCACACCCACACCCATACCAACACCCATACCAGCACAAGCACCAACACCAACACCACCAGCACCAACCGCAACACCAGAAACATTCGCAGCAGAATGCGCGCGGGGCAGCGAGGCGGGCAGAACGAGATATTTGCTGTGCAGCCCGAGCCTCCTAAGCGCTGTCCGCAGCTGCTGCAGGTGCATGGAGCGGGGAATAAAGGCGTCCACCCCCGCCAGCACACACTGCTCCATTGCTGCATCCAACCCCACCTGGTCGTACCGGCTCAAATCGGCCACCACCACTATGAGCGTGCGATCCGGCGATGATGCAGAAGCTGCTGCAGCAGGAGCAGAAGTAGCAGCGGCAACAGCAGCAGCAGCAGTAGCTGCAGAAGCAGGGGAGGAGGAGGAGAAGGGTTCCACTGTCGCTTGCTCTTGCTGCTGCACCGTCTCCTGCTCCCCCTCCAATCGCTGCTTTGCACTCTCGCTCACCTCGCTCCTCCCCTCCTCACTCCTCTCCTCGTCCTCCTCGCCCTCGTCACTCAGCACCTTGAGCCCTCCCAGAGACCTCATGTCCCCGTCAGCACCAGCAATTCCAGCACCAACAGAAGCCCCAGCCCCAGCAAACCCAGCACCAACAGCAGCACCAGCAGCAGCACCAGCAGCAGCACCAGCAGCAGCACCAGCAGCAGCAGCGCCGGAAGTGCCAGCAGGCTTGGCGGTGCCGAGAGTGAGGCGGCGAGACAGCAGCGCCCGCTCGGCACGCCGGATATCCCGAATGGCCGCCTGCCCTGCCCTACTGGTGGCCTGCTCTAGATCCAGGACCACCAGGGAGAACAGCACTCCCCCACTCCCACCACCCGCAGCGGCGGCATGAGGGGCACCGGCGCTGGCGGCGGCGGCGGGGGAATTGGTAGCTGCAGCAGCGCCAGCAGCAGAGGCGGCGTCAGAGGGAGCAGGAGGAGGAGGAGGAGCAGTAGGAAAGGGGGAAGGGAGAGAGCCGTGGAGAGCGGCCTGCTCGTATTTCCACGCAGCTTCCTGCACTGACGTGGCGCTGACCACGTCAAACCCACAGCGCTCCAGCTGGTGCGCCAGGTCGTTGCGCCCTGTGGTCACTCCGTCCGCTATCAGAGCACGCACTAGCGAGGATGAGGAGGAAACGATTGGGGAGGAGGAGTGCGAGGAGGAGTGGGAGAAGGCGGAGGAGAGGGAGGAGGAAGAGGAGGTGGGGTACGGCCGGGAGGAGAGCGGGCGGGAGAGGGAGGAGGAGAAGGAGAGAGTGGAAGTGGGGTGGTTGGAAGTGGTAGAGGTGGGTTGGAAGGAGAATGCTGAACGGTGGGAGTGGTGGTGGTGGTGGGATGGAGACGTGTCCGCGTTATTGAGGGCATCACTGCTGATATTGCGACGCATGCCCGTGAGAGAGGAATAAGCTGCAAGAAAATCGACCCAACAACAAGGGAAAGAGGGGGAGTTGGAGGCGAACGGGGGGGGGGGAAGAGGGGGTAAGGCAGAAAGGTTAAGAGACCTGGCAGCAATTTGAAAGGCCTGCAAACGCGTATGGCACAGAAGCTTCGATACAAGGACACTGGAACGGCAACGCACCATATTTCGGCAGCTCGCACGAGCGTCGGATAGCTAGCTTCGTTTGTACGGGCTTTAAGTGAACCCCCGTGCCTCCCACCGCGCCCCCGCCCACGCCTTCCGCGCCCAAACCAACGAGAGTGGGCAAATTGACAGGGGAAGGCAACACCGGCGCAACTGGCGCTGCAGATGGCGGCGTAGCAGGCGGAGTCAAAGGCAAAGTTGCTTCTCCCGCTTCATCCGCCCCTCCCGCCCCTCCTACTCCTCCCGCTCCTCCCGCTCCCCCTGCCGCCCCTGATTCGGTCGCAGCTTCGCTCTCCCCCAATGAAAGCCTCCCCGACAGCTGTCGCTCAGAAGACGACGACGAAAGCCGCCCAGTTACCCCTACTCCCGCCCCCGCGCCTGAGTCTTGGCCCGCGCCCGCATTCCCCGCGCCTGCGTAACCTCCGCGCAAACCCCCGCCGCCGCCGCTCGCGCGCCTGCTGGCGGAGACGGGCTCCATGACGTGGCGCCTGGAGCCGCCGGAATTCCCGCCGCAACTGGCGCTGCTGCCGAACGGGGCGGAGCCGAGCTGGTAGAGGTCGCTGCAGCTGCTGGCCGCGTCGCTGTCGTCTGGTTGTGAGAGAGAGGGGTGGAGAGGGATGAAGAGGGATGGAGAGGGATGGATAAGGGTGCGGTTGGTGGAGGAGGTTAAAATGTGGCCAGAGGAGGGAGAGAATGAAGGGAGACTGACAGACCAGGAGGGGAAGCTTACAGCGCTACTTAAGGCTTGGGACTGAGCGGCCTTGGGTATGAAACGGACAAAGACCTTGACTCACAACCACGCACAGCCCCCCCCCACCACTAGTCACCACTCACCGCGCTTCACTCACCCACTCTCCCACTCTCCGCCGCTCACCACCACGAGGCACCACTCACCGCCCCTCAACACCACTCACCGCCCACGGATTCCTCGTCCACGGAGTGCATGCCGTACAGACTCCCCGCCGACGCGTTCCGCTGCAGCCATTCCTCGGTTTCGCCCGCCGCAAAGGACGGCGCAAATGGCGGCAAGCCGCCTCCACTCCCGCCGCCGCCGCCGCCGTCCACGTCGAAGCCATGCGCGGAAGTTGCGCTCAGCGCGGCCGCCGACCCTCCCCCGCCTCCCGAAGACGCGGGAATGACGGCGCAGATTGCACCGCAAACTGCACCGAGCGCGTCGGTGCGCGCGCTGGCGAATAACCGCACGCGCGCGCAGCTGCCTCCGCGCTTCAGTAGAAGCAACTCCGCCGTGACTATATCGCGGCCAAAGAGCGCGGCGCGGAGAACGTCCTCACATCGGCGGAACGGCGCGGAGGCACTGGCGGGGCGGAAGAGCCGTTCCGCAAACCGACCTTCCGCGAATCGCCCCAGGCGCATGATTTCCCCTTCCGCCCATCCAGTCAGTTCCGCCATGCGCCTGTTCCAGAGCGCGCACACCAGGTCACGATCGACCGCAAACACCGCCACGGGGAGCTCATTGGCGGTAATCGGCAAGTCCCCGCTAAGGCTTGCGCTCAGAAGCGCTGCGCCAGAGGCCAAGGCTCCGCCGGGATTTGCGCCGAAGGTTGCGCCGAGGGTTGCGCCAGCGGGTGGGGTGCGCTCCCCCGAAAGGGAATGCGCGGGGGAGCTGGATGGCTGCAGCGGGCCGGCTAGCTCCGTGACGAAGTCTAACGCGGCGCGCCGATTAATCTCCTGCTCTACCAGGCGGTCCGACGCGGTCGCGAAGGACGCGAGGCTGCTGGTTTCGGACGACGCGAGCGACAGGAGCGAGTCGGCGGACGCGTGCCGCGCCGCCAACCCGCGGAACATCGGCCAGTTACCGCCGCGGCCGCCGCCACCACCGCTACCGCCACCAGCACTTCCTGGCGGGGTGCTACTGGTGCTGTGACTGGGGCTTTGACCGTTACTGTGACTGTAACTGTAGTTATGACTGTGATTCTGACTGTGATTCTTGCTCTGGCTTTGACTGAGATGGTGGTGGGAGGACGATCGCGGTACGGGCGTGGGATGAGCTGCGGGAGTGAAGGAAAGGGCCATGGCCGTGGGAGACGGTGCAGCGGAGAACGAAAGCCCGTGGGACGACGATCGCGGCACGGGCGTGGGCGGGGCGGCGGGAGTGAAGGAGAGACCGTGCGCGAAACCCATGGCCGTGGGAGACGGTGCAGGGGAGAACGAGAGCCCGTGGGAGAAATTAAGGCCGAGACTGCTCTGCTGCGGCTGACGTGGCAGGCTTAGGAGCGTCGACCACGCGTCCGATCGACCTCCGTCACCGGGAGCGCTCCCCGTGACGCTTCCGACCCCGTTAAGGAGTCCTCCGTTAACCCCGGTTAAGCTGCTGAAAGCTCCGCTTCCACTAGCGGGCCCCCCCGCTTCTCCTTTCCCGCACTCATTATTAACGCCTCGGGTTTCGGTATAAGTTGTTCCCAGGCCTTGCCGGTGCCCGTCTATTCCTGCGGCGTTCTCATGGGGATGGGGAAATCCGCCGCCGAATTTAACCTCGCGCTTGGACGAATTCGGCGGGTCGAGAGATAACGCGCGGGATGTGACCGGCAGGAGCGACACTCTCGTCGCCATGGTCGCAAACGGTGACCGAAACTGGCGGCTGTTAGACGGCGAGCGTGACTGGCTGGCTGTTAAACGCCGAGCCTCAGTAATTGTACGATGGAAATTCTGAGCGACTGTACAATGGTGATCAAGAGCGGCTGAAGGCCACTGAATTCGTCGATCACTAAGATAAGCGAAGAGCGTGGAGGTTTACCAGCTGTCGAAAACTCGCGATCAGTTTCACACGTGCTAACTGAGCTGAGAAAAAGGGAGGGTGCGTGCTTCAGTGCAGCTAGTGTGAAGCAGATAGAGGAGGAAGGACAACCAGGCCAGGCTACCAACCAAACTATAAGCTCTGTTGGCGTGTGATACTATATGAATATCCGTGACTGATGGAGTGACAGAAAATCCATGGCGTTATCTCCTAGGAGTTGGGGATGACGGATACAGGAGGTGCTCGTGAGAGACGACGAGAGGTCCACAAGCAGCGGATTCTATCCCTCAAGTCCAGGGTGTTTCTGTTTGATCTGTACATCCTGTATGTAGAACTAAGTAGTCGAGCTTTGCTAAAATCTATAGGAATGTAGTCGTGAAACGCTTAAAAAACGACGTGGGCATTTGTGGACATCTGACCGTCGGAAGTGGACTACACGAAAGCGTTTGGGTTTCGGGCAGGATCCCTGGGTCTCAAAACTTTCCCCAGTTAATGATTTGTTTCGAAGGCTCGGGATCTGCACTGGATAGAAAGTCACCAAACTGGGAGACCTTTCGCCACAAGCCTCGTCAGCCAACCAACTGCGTCCTTTGGGTTCGTCCACACCAGCTCGTCGCCAAAACAGCACTAGATGGCAGCACAGAACGAGGAGCAGAATGAAGGACAGCACTGACAACAACAATTCCTTCTAAAGGGCCCTTACCGTTCAATGGCCTGCAAAGATGCCCACATGGCGATTTCTTACTGCTTAGAATGAACGTGCTCTAGGTTCGGGAAGAAGTGGCTCGACTAGGACCGTCAAATCCGCTAAGGTCTCGAGGGCTGCAATGACCCCAGCTCTGATTGGATGGCCCATTGCGACTCGTGTGATGTGGGGGCCGTAACTGGGAATGGCAGGGCAATGGCTTCTCGCTCACCCAGACCGAAACTGCACCGTAGCCGTTCATCTGACAATGCACTTCACAGCGTTCCGCGACCATGGGAGCCTCAACGGTTCAGCTCATCTCAACTGTCTGCGTGTCCGCGGCGCTGGCCATCGACGGTGGTGATGACGCGAGATGCATAGCGATGGCGGAGTGCGGATCATATTCAGTGAAGAAATACTTCCGCCACGTCATCGGGCGTGGTGTTAAGCAGATATTTTCTTGAACGAGGGAAAAACAGTTCATTTATCATCACGTGACAGGTCGCGGAAAATGATTGTCCTGCTACTACCGACACGGTTTTAGATTCTTTCGGTCATTGATGTGCTCTGCACAGAACTACGTGTACCCCGAAATAAACCGGCGGTGTACCTGGGAATTGCTGAGCTGTTGTGACGAGATTTTGCACCCGAAACCACTCCGGCCGAGGTTTTCTGACCCTCTATCTGCTCAAAAGCACGGCTTTGCGTCCTCCCTCCCGAACTTTAGAACGCGGATAATGAAGGTGTCAGCTGCTAACCTAGCCCCAAGAGTAGGGCAATTTACCCAATACAGAAAAATGTGACAGTGCTTCTACAGTTCACGAGAGGCATTCTTGCGCGTGTGCAGTTCCCTGCCTGACTTTTCAGCATCACGTGACTCGGGAAAACGTGAACCACTCATGTTGCGGAAAAAAATGCGGGAACATCCATCTCTTTTCAAGCAGCTTCTTAGTTACACCAGAATCTCATGTCTTACAGAAACTATGCACACAACAATTTCCTAATATGCTTACTGGTAAGATCTACCATAAACACCATGAACTAGTTCCGCGTGTTCGCAAAAGAAGGGAAAAGGCTCAGCTCCAAATCTTTATGCCTTGATCCATCATCGTTTTCAACTCTTTGCTGCGTCCTGTCCTGCGAGTTGCCCTGTGCCTTGTCCTCAACCATTCCTCTCGCAGATGCTGCAACAGCCGAGCGCCATGCTGCAAATGCTGCTGCACTTCCAGCAGCTCCTCCTCCTCTCTCCCTCGCCTGAGAACCAGGCTCCTCTACAGAAGCATCTGCTACACCAGCAGTAGCAGCAGCAGGCGACGCAGCGGCGACAGCAGGAGCGGCGGTGGTAGGAGCAGCAGCTGCGATGGCAGCAGCAGCCGGAGGGAAGGTCGGGAAAAGGCCCCCTAGGCTCTGAAGCAGGAGCTGCTGTTGCTGCTGCTGCTGAAAAAGCTGCTGGCGCAGCTGCTGCTGCATGCGGTGCTGCTGTGCAATGTACATGTGCAGAGCTGTCATGTCCATCATCATAGATGCACCTGCACCAGATGGGCCTGCCCCAGATGCACCCACACCTGCACCACCACCAACACCAGCAGCAGCGGCAGCAGCAGCAGATGCAGACCCACCTGCCCCGGCAGCAGCACCCATATCCATGCCCATACCCGTCCCCAAGCCCATCCCCATCCCCATGTTCATGTTCGTTCCCATACCAAAGCTCATGCCCATGGCCTCAGCCATGCCTGCTTGTCCAGGCATACCGAAATTAGCAGGCATGCCAAAATTGGCAGGGATGCCAAGATTGGCAGGCATGGTAAAATCAGCTGGCAGGCCCATGGCACTGAGCATAGCAGCATACTTTGATGAATTCCCCTCTTTCTTCTTCCTCTCCCCTTCTCCTCTGCTCCCTTCCCCTTCCCCAGCTTCTGACTCAGGCACGGTACCCCAGCTCAATCCAAACACATCCGAGCCTTCAGGTCCGGCAGATTCCGAGCCTGTCATGAACCCGAACGAGGCTGGGGTGACGGCCGTTGCTCGGGCAGCAGTGGCGTTGTCCGAAGCTGCAGCAGGCGCGGCGACAGGTTTGGCACCAGCAGCGTCGGCAGCAATGGCGGCTGCAGCAGCAGCGGCAGCAGCAGCCGGGTCAGCATTCTTGGCAAAGCGAGCATAGAGAGGGAACGACCATCCTGCAGCACCACCCTTGCTTGCCGACGCTGCTGCTGCAGCAGGTGCTGCCGCCGCTGCGACTCCACTCGCCCCTGCTTTACCTGACAAATCCAACGCAGAAGAGAATGGTGCTTCTGGCATGGCTGCTGCTGACATAGCTGCTCCGGAGGAGCCTTCAGTAGCGGCCGGTGCGTCGGTGAAAGCGGGGAAGGCAGGAATCATGGCGAGGCGAGGAGCTGAGAATACCCGTGGACGGTTGTGGGGAGAACGGGCGGGAGGAGGCTTCATGCCACTCGTGCTGGGGATACCACCTCCTGCACCTGGTGCTGCTGCACCTGCTGCTGCTGCGGCGGCGGCGGTGGCGGCGGCGGCAGCGGCGGCAGCTGCTGCGCCTGCTGCTGCTGCTGCTGACAATGGTGTTGTCGCTGCTGCATTTGCGTCAGTTGAAGCTGACTTCTCAAGCACATCAGGAACACTGGTTTCCGTAGCAGCGGCGGTTTCTTGCGCCCTGCTGCTGCTGCCAGCACGCCGGCTGGGGCGCGGTACTTGGTCGATAGGCTCCTCTATGCTCACAGCTGCAGCAGCTGCAGCGGCAGCAGCGGAAGCACCACCAGCGACAGCAGTAGGAGCAGCAGAAGGGCCGGAGACATCAGCAGCATCAGCAGAAGGTGCAGCAGGTGCCGAAGCCTGGTCCTGGCCTAACTGCCCCTGCTGCTGCTGCTCCTCCTGTTGCTGCTCGTGCTCCTGATCTTCCAACACTTGAGCCTTCTTGGCGTTCGGTGGTTCGTGCATCAGCCCCTGCTGCACCTGTGAACGTTCAGAGAAGGGGGGGGGGCAAAGAGGAAAAGGGAGTGGCGCATAAGCACAAAAGGAGAGGCAGGAAACAGAAAGAAAGAAAGAAAAAACAGACACAGTTGAGTAAGAAGCAAGACGCATGTGAATATTACTCACCCTGTTCAGCCGGTGCAGCTCGAACAGTTGAGTGGAGAATATGTGCTGCTGCCTCACAATGCCCTTCCGCACCCGCCAAAACTCCTTCTGTCCCACCGCACCAATCAAGTCACCCACACACATCTCCCCCCTTCCCTCCCCTCCCTCCCACTTCCCCCTCTTGCTCTCCCCCGCGACCTCCCCGTCCGCTTCCCCCGCGCCCAGACCCCGCCCCTCCTCCGCGCGCCTGCTCCGCTTCCTGCTCTCCCGCCGGAACCGCTCCTCCTCCTCGTCCTCCACGCCTCCCGCCATCCCCAGCACCATCGCCAGCATGCCTCCCGCCGCCTCCGCGCCTGCGGGAGCAGCAGCAGCAGCAGGAGACGAGGCAGGGGCGGATACAGCAGGAGCACGACGAGTAGGGGCGGCAGCAGGGAGGAGCAAGCCTCCTTCTCTAGCCACCACCCCGCCATGGTAACTGCTTGCACACCCAGCAGCAACACCTGCGGCGGCGGCAGCGGCAGCCGCGGCAGCAGCCGCGCGGAAGCGCCCTAGAGCCCGCGCCTCGCGCTGCTCCCCGAAGCTCTCTCCCTTCTGATCCGCCAGACCACCCCTTTCCGCCATTTCCGTTCCTTCTTCCGCGCCCGTTCGCTCATCCGCGTCCGCCCGCGCAGCGACCATCCGCGCGTCGTCAACACCCTCTTCCGCCTGCGCTGCAGCCTCCTCCGCCGCCGCATCCGCCGCGCAGCCAAGTCCAGTCCCCGGATGCTCGGCTGCGGCGCGCGCGCGCCTCTCCTCCTCCCGCGCAGCTACGGCGGCAGCGCGAAGAACCTCAATTCCCCGAAACAGCTCCTCCTCTGCTGCTCCCGCTCCCACTCCCGCTCCTCCCGCTGCTTCCGCGGCTGCTCCCGCTGATCCTTCCGCGCGCTCTTGCGCTTGCTCCTGTTGCGCTTGTGCCAGAGCTTCCGCACCGTCAACAGCAGCCATCTCCTTGCGCTTCTTCCCCTTTCCGCCCTTCGCCGCAGCACGCGCCCCGCTTTTCATCGTGCTCTTCATGCTCCGCCCACTCGTCGTTGACATCGCGCCAACCGCTCCCCCCCCGCCTCCGCCTCCGCCGATAACGCCAGCAGGTGCAGTTGCCGCTGGACCCCGGGAACCTGCGGACTTCGTGCTGGCGCTTTTCCGCAAGGTCCCTTTCCGCGCGTCGTCCACTCCGCTCCGCGCGGGTCCTCCACGGCTGCTCCGCTCCTCCCCGCGCCTGCGCCCGAGCCTCTCGCTGGCGGCGGAACGCGCAGCCGCCGCGGACGGGCTCCGCCCTTGCTGCTGCTGCCCCGACGCCTCCCCTTCCCCGTGAATACACCCGCGGTCGGGCGGAGACCCCGCGCCTGAGCTTCCGCCGAATCCGCCCATTCCACCGAACATATGCGCTTGACTCATCATAAGTAACGCATTCGGGTTACCCGATCCAGGCCAACTGAAATTGGACATGAGACCCGCCAAGCCTCCTTCCGCCGATGCGCCATTCCACGTTCCGGGGGTGAGCGGCGGAACTGCGCCACTAGCGCCTGCGCCTGTGCCCGAGCCCGTACCCGTGCCCATGCCCGCGACTTGCGACGCGCTTCCGTAATTCAAAAACGCCGCGCCGGCCGCCGCCATGGCCGCTGCAGCAGCCGCCGCCGCACCCGGGTCGCCGCGACTGCCGCCCAAACCCGACGCGGCAGTGAGCGCCTGCAGCGGGTACATTGCCGCCGTGCTGCCGTCCTTGCTATTGCTGGCGCCGGCAAACGCGGCCATCGCGGCGGCTGCGGCGGCGGCGGCGCTCGCGGGGGACATGGAGGCTTGCGGCATGACTGGCGGAGAGGGGGAGCTGGGGGACGCGCCGTTCCCCCACGGCATGTGGCGCTGCTGCCAAGCCCAGAACGCCCATTGATCCGCGTCGCTTCGAGTCGACTGTCCGTGGCTGTTACTATTGCTGCTCACTGCTCCCGCTCCCGTTCCTGCTCCCGCGCCAACACCCGCGCTTCTTCCTTGGACGATGCTCCCCGCGCCGCCTGCTCCTCCGCCTCCGTGCCGGGCGGCAGCAGTTCCCGCGCCGCCGCCAGCGCTGTGCGCGGCGCAGGCGGCCAAGGCAGCCTGGCCGGCGCTTTGGAAGGCGGGGGCTTCGGAGAAGCTTCCCGTGCTGCTGGCGATTCCGGAGTGGGATTGAAGCATGCTGCCGGCCTGCGGAGGGGTTTTGAAGCTGTTGGTGGGATGGTGCTGCTGCTGCGCTTGTTGCTGGGCGGCGTACGGAGCGTACGAGAATTTACTCTCGTAGTTGGGAGGCATCAACGGGACCGTCGACTGTGGATACGAAGGCCACGACAGGGGGTAGTGAGGAAGGGAGAGGGAAATTGAGCAAATTTTGAGATCAAGGAGGAGCATGGGAAGGATGAGGAATAAAGCGAACCCAGTTAAGCTCCTGAGAAAACTCCTATGTCATCATACAAGCAAGCTAGACTCGCAGGCGACTCATTCAAAATATACATCGGTCATTTCTCCGACGGAACTTCGTACATAGCTAACTACGGAGTACCTTGAGCCTTGATTGGACAAGTCGAAGACTTTTTAAAAAGCACGGTCGGCGTACGCCGCTGGAACCGACCGTCGCCTGCAGCGACCATCGTTCCCACGGACCACGTACCCCGCTGTGCATGGGATGAAACGTTGAGGGTGCGTTCATAGCTGGTCCTCCGAGAGGGTGAGGCGACGGCCGGAATCGCTTCGATGGAACGGAAACCTGCTCGTAGAGTGCCATCTTGTTCCGCGGAGGTGCCTTAGGACCCGACGCCGCTGTCGCGTGGCTAACATGTATCGGAGGGAACAGCGCGACAGCCTCGGGTTGATCCTTCCGGCTACGGCCGCCATTACTATTCTGACGACCCATCTGCTTACGCGTTATAATCTCACACTAGGTGGCGAAAATCTATGTCAACAGTTATTCTATGTACTTTTCGTACCAACGGATCTCGGGCATATTCTAGCAACGAAACCAGTCATGAGCCCCGCGAGTAACAAGGCGTGAAAGAAATCAATCTAGATCCAGTTTTGCTTGGCAAGTGACTTGAGGACTTCCTAGCTGTTTGCTGTGTTGGTGAATCAAAGAAACGAATGGCAGAGAAAGACTGTCAGCCTTATCCTGAAGAAAGCAGCAAGCATGCAAGCAAGCGGAAGAAAGTGAAAAGGTGAGCTGGTTGGGGCGGAAGGGGGGGTGGGGGGGGGGGGGGTTGTTGTAAAGCTGGGGAGGAGGGGAGGGGAAAGGATGGGGGGAGTGTGAGCAAGGCGTTGCTGAGGAGAAGCGGAACGCGAAAGGGGAATCTGGACAAGGCGTTGCGGGCGGACTGGGGCATTGTTCATGCAATCTCGATGGAATCGGGGGAAGGAGGAGAAGAGGAAAAAATATCCAACCACAGATGAGCACGCGGGTTTGGCGGGCAAAAAAGTGCAATCCAGCGCGGCAGAGTATTCAGCCATCCATTCGGCGTTCAGCAAAATATCGCTTTATCGCGGGCTGAACGGGAAGATATGGCACAAAAGTGCGAAAGAAAGTTCCGAGGCGCTGGATGGAGCTAGGGTTTCATTCGAGTGTCCAGCGCTAGTGGGAAATGACATCAGTGCCTGGTCAGCTGCGAATGAATGCCGTAACTAGAGTGCCAGGGTGGACGCAAACATACGGATCAACGGCTTGGATGTAGAATTCTACTGTGTGAGGGAGACCAATTGCACTGCCTTATTCGATGTTACACCAACTGTACACGAATCTGTGCACAGAAAGGGTTTCAGGCCACCATGTGCTGTCGTGTCTGTTGGCAGCCCCAAATGGTGGTGTCTGAAGCTTTCGTCATCCTCGTGACCTGACCTGAGTCCTGCCTGATCGCTTGTGACCACGTGAAGATGCCAGCGTCATTCGGATACCGAATCTGCATTGGGTATGGAAGATCTGGTCATAACATTTTCGGTCAGAATTGCTCCGACCTTATCACAAGACTCTGGTTCAGACGGGAATGAAGCTAATGTCTCAGCTTCCAGAAACATCCCCAAAATCTCTTTTCATTCTTCGCTCAAGCCAAACCGTCGCTTGTTTGTTCTCAAAAAGAGTGACAATCGAGCCTTTCGGATCCGTCACGTGATTAAAGCAATTGCTGCGCAACTGTAACACGAGAAACTAGAAAGCGTCGGTGCCCGTCTTATCTTCGCATGGAAAAATGTGGTGGAAAATCGTTTTCTGCGCTTTCGAAGCGCAGGGAGATGAACACCACACAAGCCATCTTGCTCCTCCGATTGGTTGCTCAGTTTCCCTTGCAAATGTTCTTCAGGATGCCATCCTTTCGGGGCTGTCTAAGTGGCTGAGAGCGGCCCTCGGTGAATCTCGTCACGTGAACCACAGAACTGGCAGTTCCTTCTTCTGTTCGTCAGCTCGCCCTGGTTCCTCCCGAAGCACTGTGGAGATTTAAACTCGGGAAACCCAAATGAAAGGGGTTTCCGGCAAGTTGTCTTGAACTTGGCGGGGTCTTTTCCTGCCTTCCAAGTACAAACTGGGCTGTAAAGCATGTCATGAAAGGTATCGGTTGTCCTGAACACAGGTCTGGCGTTGGAAATAAACAAACAACTCGCAGATTTATGAGGATCTTTTACTTCCAGCCAACTCCTCAACAGTGCGCCATTTGTTATTGTTTAATTGTTGTTGTGAACTGGTGTGCGGTTAGCACACAACAAACACCATGTCTCATAAACAAGGAGGTGAGTCTGAAAATATTGTATGGGAGTTCTAATGTCTTTGTCAGGCGCATACGAGATTACCAGAGTAGTAAATAAAGAAACGTTGCTGTGCATTCCTGCCAGTAGCAAGAACGGGGAACATAGAAGAGGGTACGGATACGAAGGGTCAAAATGACGCGAACGGTTGAAAGCGTCTGGACCGTCGGAAGCGTACGACGTTGGGCAGCTGCGGGGACGAGGAAAAGGGCGGGAGCAGTTTCGTAACTGTACGCGCCGCACGGTTGGGTTTGCCCTTGGATATGGGGATGCGCCCCTTAGACTAGATGGCTAGCTATGACATTTCGTATTCCCGTATACTCTTACTTATGCTAAATGTTTTGCATTCTTTTATATCTCTGTCATTTTAAATTCACTCTGATATGAGGTCACTAACTTCCGTTGCGACACTCTGATTCTGTGAACCTTCATGATGTGATCCTAGGCACGATATACCTTCTGGTCGCAACATCAGCTTCGGGCGAGCACAACGAAATGAAGACATACATACGGACATGTGCGCAGACAGACATATGCACAGTATCGTGCAAGGAGCTCGTTTGAAGGCAACTTCTTAGGAACAGTAGCATGACAAACATGGAGTGTGCGTAACGAGACCCTTATTGGATGAAAAAAATGAAATATCAGAAAAGACAAACTTCTCGCCACAGAACTGCCTGGGACAACCAAGTTCCAAGCTTATACTTCGAAGTTGAAGCTGATAGTTGGGCCACGGCTTTAACTAGATCATAGGAGATGTAGGATGTAATGTACTTCTTGGGATACCAGCACACCGGCGGCATGCAGTGTCAGCAGGAATGCAGATATGCAGGAGCTACCTGACTGAGAGCGTATTCCTATCCTCGTATCAAGAGAACCTCGTATCAAGATTGTACTTTCTGCCTGGTAATGCTAGCGAGAGGTTTTGGGTTTAGGGGAATTTTCAGTAGGAGGTTGATATGGGGTTCTCTTGATACGAAGATAGGGATACGCTCTGAGGCGAGGAATGCAGGCACCAACCCAGAGGCACGCTGCACAATGTTGAGTCAACCCATTTGCACCAAAAAGGTCACAGATAAACCAACATATTCACCCGGAGTGGGCCAACTATGCAATATACCAACATATTTTACCTGCAGTGCTTTGCAACGAGCAAAGCTTCTATACATTTCTACATGCTCGCTCATACGAGCACACGCTAGTACTTCTTTGCCCGCAGGATGCAAGCAGTGAGATTCATACTTGGTCCAGCAACCATACCACCCTCCTAACTAAAGCCAACACAATTTCTCAATCCAGCCCTAATTTTCTCACTCCGCATTCCACAAACATGTCTGGTTCCCACACCAAGAAACGCTTAACTAAGCACCGTGTAGCCGCTGAGCCTGCTCCAGCTTACTCGCAAGATCCGTCAAGTTCTGAATCGAAGAAAGCACCCGAACCGCTTCCGACATTAGCGGCCGCGCGTGCGGGTCCTTGTTCAGACACTTGCGTGCCAAAACCGCCGCCCGTTGAGCGCCTTTCACCGAATACTCGCCGCCCACCCTCGGATCCACCAATAGCAGCATCTTCGCTGGATCGACCAGAAACGGCCGCGCCCACTCGACGATATTCTGCTGCCGCCTCGGGAACTCCGGCTCCATGGCCCGCCGCCCGCTAATCATTTCGAGCAGCACGACTCCAAAGCTGTAGACGTCTGACTTGGCGGTGAGGTGGCCGGTCATCATGTACTCGGGGGCGGCGTAGCCGTAGGTGCCCATGACCCGCGTTGACACGTGCGTCTGGTTGCCCTCGGGGCCGTCCTTTGCCAGCCCGAAATCAGAGAGCTTTGCATTGAAGTCCTGAGAAGGGGGGAATGGGGGAGGCGTGTAACAAGGATTTGAGCATACGGTTGGGGGAGAATGGGCGTGGAATGCAATGAGTCTTGAAAAGCAATCAAGAGTTTTGCGTTGTGGGTGGATGACCTGCCGGGCCAATTCCTCAGAGTGGATACTCCTCTAGACACACTAATCCCCCCCGTACTCGTTACAAACACGACCCGCTACACGCGCGCACCTCGTCCAGCAGAATGTTGGACGCCTTAAAGTCGCGGTAGATGATCTGCCGGTCCGCCTCCTCGTGCAGATACGCCAAGCCCTGCGCCGCCTGCAGCGCCACCTTCATGCGCACCGCCCATGGTAGGGGCTGGATGGCGCCTGGCAGGGGGGAGGGGGGGAAGTGGCGGAACAGGGGGAGAGGTGGAGGGGACACGGGAACATGAATGAAGGCGAGGGGACGAGCGTCCGCGTGCAGCGCCACCTTCATGCGCACCGCCCATGGTAGGGGCTGGATGGCGCCTGGCAGGGGGAAAGGGGAGGAGGGGAGCAAGGGGGGAACGGGAATGGAAATGAGAAGAAGGGGAGGGGGTGGAGGGGGGTGGTTACGGGAACAGCGGCCGCGTGCAGCGCCAGCGCCACATTCATGCGCACCGCCCATGGCAGGGGCTGGATGACGCTTGGCAGGGGGGAAGGGCAGGGGAAAGGGGGGAAGCAAGGGGGGAACAGGAACGGAGATGACAAGGAGGGGGGGCAGGGATACGGGAACAGCGGCAGCGTGCAGCGCTCCCTTCATGCGCACCGCCCATGGCAGAGGCTGGATGGCGCATGGCAGGGGCGGATTTGAGAGGCGGGTGAGGGAAGAGCAACAAGGGAACATGAAAGAGGCGAGGGGGGACGCGAATAGAGGCAGCGCCGCCTTCATGCGCACAGCCCACGACAGGGGCAGGATGGCACATGGTCAGGCAGAGGGGAAAGGGACAGAGCAAGAAGGATGAGAAAACGAGGAGAAAGCGAGGAGCGGAAGCTTGGAGTGCGACGACGACAACAGAGACGACCACACGGCCGGAAAATCGTTCTTGGCGCCGTGTACTTGGTATTTATCGCATCTGTAGCGACCAGGAACTCACGGGTGAAAAGGAATCGCTCGAGGCTGCCGTACGGAAGATACTCGTACGCCAACAGCCGGTGATGCCCGTCCGAGCAGTACCCGACCAGCCGCACCAGGTTCGGGTGCCGAAGCTCGCTCAGGTACCGAACCTCCGTCTTCCATTCCGTCTCCCCCTGCTGACCCCCCTGATTCAACACCTTCACCGCAACCTGCAACTTCCGCTTTCCGCCCTCTCCGCTCCCCGCGCCCATCCCCGCGCCTGAAGCGCAAACATCCTCTTCGATCGTTCCCCGGAAAACGCTCCCGAATCCGCCCTCCCCCAGCTTCCCCTCCTTCTCGAATTTCCGCGTCGCTATCCATAGCTCCTGGTACGAGAATTCGCGCAACGATGACGTGGCGACGCCGCTGTTCGCCAGAGACGTTCGATCCGCAAGTGCGCCGCCGCGTCGGCCGGAACCCAGCCCGCCGCTGCCAGGGGGAGTCCGGAAGCCGCTGGCGGAACTCCCGCGCGGTGTTTGCGGGCAGGATCGGCGGCCGCTTCCGCTTCCGCCACTGGCGGCACTGATGTTGCTCTCGTTGGATTTTGGGAGGAGTCCGCCGGAACGATACGCGGAAGCGGAGGCCGAAGCGGAAGAGGGAGATCGCATGGGGGAGGACTTGCGCGCCGAGCGCTTGCTTGCTGTAGAGGGGCTTTGCGGTGCAACGCGGTTTGAGTGGGTTGCGCGGGACGACGATCGGCCAGGTGCGGGCCCAAATCGGCCTCTAGGGTCTTCCTCAATCGACACGCAGCCCCCCATGGCACCCAAAGCGTCTTGGTTTACTAGGAATCTACGCTCGAATGCTTTATCTGCGTAGCCGATGCTTTATCTGCGTCGCTTGAAACGCGTGCCGCAGGGACTTGCTGGCTTTCTTGTTAGATTCAGGAAGTAGGCTTATTATTATGGCAAGACCGCGGACTAGAGGCGGAACAAATTAGACAACAAAGTAAAGCTGATGCTGGAGACTCTGAAGTACCTGGGTTGAATGGCTTGGTCGAGTTGAATGTGAAGGTGAAAGTTAGGAGGATGATGAGGGTGAGTAGGAACAAGGGGGTCGGTGGTGGTGGTGGGGAAAGGGGCGAATTCTGTTTGACTCGAGATTTCCCAATTCGAGCCGCAGATTTCCACGCTCGACGAATTTTGCGAAAAGGGGATTTGCGAGGACGAGGGAGGAGTTTGGTGGTGGGGATTAGTGGCGGTGGCGGTCGACAGTGACGGCTGATATTTTTTCGTCAGGGCGTTGACAGCACGCGATAGGGGCTTTTGACTGGTTCGGTCAGGTCAGCTGACTTGGCTGGTTAGGGTGCGAAATTTGTTTCCCAACGGCAAACCGCGAACACTTCAGGCCTGAGATTCGTGGGTCGCGCGAAACGAACATTTTTTTCGTCGTCCCAGCGACGAAGTTGCAAGGAGGTGTCGCAGGTGGTGCTGGTGAGTCGTCGCTGTCGCCTATTGCATGGATCGGTAAGGGGTACTGCTGGCTACCTCGTTATGCATCGGTGACATTCCAGCGTACACAAAAAATGCTCATTCCATATTCTGTTTTGCTCTGTTCCTATTAAAACCCGCGGGCCAAGAAAGCCCAAGTTGGTTCAACCTTCCTAAAGCCCAGATTGAGTGTGACCCTTGACCCAGAACCTTGGCCAATAAACCTGCTCACCCCAACCAAACCAACCTTCCTACTTGGGAACCAACCTTGATAAAACATGTGGGAACCACCGGGAACATAGGCAAAAACCTTGATATGTGGTGAAAATTGTTGGGCTGAAAAAGCCCTTAGGATCTTTGCAGTGGTGAACTCTGGGTAGAGTTGGTGTAGTAGCGGAAGCGTTAATAAAGAGCTGTGAACCACCTTGCACTAGAATGTGAGGGCAAAGTAAGTTGATTAAAGCAAGGAGATAGAGGATTATATAAGAGTACAAGAAATATGAAAGGATACGGTTATAAGTGTTTTACTTGTTGCTGTTGCGGTTCGATATAGTGACGAATCGAGCAACTGCTCTGTAACAAGTCAGTAATGTGTCCTTGCTGTCGCGCTGTATTTGTCGATCAAAGGTCGCTGACCTTTGACTTTCGCGTAACCTCCAGCGGTTACTTCAACCTCCGAGGGTTGACTCGCTGGTGCCTCGATATGCTTTGCCTCGCATGTGTCTTAGTGTTTCGACACGACAGAGGCGCTTAGGACCGATTGTTTCCAACACTCCCCTTCGCTTCTGGAGTGTCGCTGACATGGCTCTGTCCAGTCAGCAGCATGCAGTATTCGAACTTCTGCTTTCCGAGCTTCTTGGTCAGGTAGTCAGCTGCCATCTCGGACGTGGGGCAGTATGACAGCTCGAGCCTTCCCTTCTCGATCTCGTCCTTCACGAAGAAGTATCGCAGGGCGATGTGTTTCATCCTGTTCGCGAAGCCGTTCTTGTTGGCGATGCGAATTGCCGACTGGTTGTCGCAGATAAGGGTAAAGTTGGGTAACTCGGCTAACTTCGCTTCTTCCAGCAACTCGCGAAGATAGAGTCCTTCCTTGGTGGCTGAGCAAAGTGCAATATATTCTGCTTCAGCTGATGAGAGAGCAATTCATTCCTACTTGCTTGATTGCCAGGAGGTAGGTCCGATAGGCTCGAAGCAGTAGATGTAGCCGGTGCGCGATCGTCTGTTGTCGGAGTCGCCCGCGTGATCTGCGTCGACGTAACCGATTAGCTTAGGCGTTGTAGTTGCGTTCTTATGGTAAGTCAGGGCGACCGTCGGGGTGCTGACAAGGTAGTGAAGAGCGCGGTCGAGCTCCGCCAGATGTTCCGCTTCAGACTTCTTGAGGTGGGTGGCGAGCTGGCTTGCAGAGTAGGATAGATCTGGGCGGCAGGTGACAGCTGCGAAGAGAAGGCAGCCCAGCTTTCTCTGGTAGTCGCATATGCCGGCAGGCTTGAGTAGAGCGGAGCCTTCCTTGTTGTTTGCTGTCGTGTAGCGGTACGGTGTGGAGATGACAGTCGGTGTGAGTGCGAAACGCTTGGCGATGGTGTCGGCGTATTTTGCGGCGCTGAGGTAGATAGCGTCTTCCTCTTATCGGATGTTGAGGCCGAGGTACTGTTTGACGGTAGATGAGACCGTGAGTGTGAGGTCTTGCTGTAGCTCCCCTTCGAACCAGGTTGTAATGCCGTCAGTTGAGCTGATGTAGAGCAGATCGTCTACATAGACAATTAGCAGGTTGTAGTCGGTACCCTTCGTGAGCCGGTACATGCCCTGGTCGTGCGGTTATTGCTTGAAGCCGATGCGAATGAGGCGAGCGTGTAGGTATTGTTGCCATAGTCGCGAAGCTTGCTTGATGCCGTAGAGCGACTTGAGTAGTTGACAGACGTGGTTCGAGTCCGTGCTTGAGCCGTGTGGTAGCTCGACGAAGATTTCTGCGTCAACAGGTGCGTAGAGGAATGCGTAAGTGACGTCGATTTGCCGCAGCTTCTTCTTCTTCATGGCGGCAATCGCGAGAAGGATGCGTAGCGAGATGTGTCGGCTGACCGGAGCGAATGTTTCGGTGAAGTCTCGTCCGTGTTCTTGGTCGAAGCCGCGTATAACCCAGCGAGCTTTGAATTTGTCAATGGTGCCGTCGGCCTTTGTCTTCACACGGAATACCCACTTCCCGGTGAGCACTGTCTTGTTCCGTGCCACGCCGATAGGAACCACTTTCCACGCGTTGCGTTCCTCCAGTGCCTTCAGCTCCTTGTCCATGGCTTCGCGCCATTTTTCCTTGTTCCCCCCCCAGAGCCTGCTGAACCGTCGCAGGCTCTTTAGGAGTGGCGGTGTCGTGGACTGCGGTGACGAGTCCGAGAATCTGCAGTCCACTCTGTGAGTAGCGGGGAAGATTTATGTCCTCGGGATAAGCTGCGTCATCTCCCGCTTCTGGATCAGGTATGAAGTTCGGTCCTACTCGTTCTGCTTCGTTGGTGTTGACTGTCGCAGGTGTTACGTAACCGCTGTCGGCAAAATGGTAGAAGGTTTCGGCATTGGCACTTTCGCGAGGGTTGTCTTTGTCCATGGGAACGTCGACGGAGCAGAACAGAAGAGGTCCGGCTTCTTCTGATGCGTTGTCCACATTCTGCTCCACCCAGTCAGCTTCATCCGCTGCTGAGGCGAAGGCTCAGTCACCATGAAAATCACCTGTGGGATCTTCGTCTTCTTGCAAGTTGGCAAGGTATGTCTGGAGCGTGAGTCGTTTGTACAAAATTACGTCACGTGCTGCTACTGTTTCCTTGGAGTGGATGTCGAAGATTTTCCACGCGTTGTAGTTCTTTTCGATTCCCAGGTGTAGTCCCCACTGTGCTCGTTGAGAAAATCGGCCCGCTCGTGCTGCTGGGGGTCGGTACTGTACCATGCATCCGAATATTCGTAACATTTTTGTGCTGCCCTGTTTCCCTGTCCATAGCAGATGCGGTGATGCGTTGTTCGGAAGCGATGATGACGACAGCAAGTTGTGCAGCATGACGGCGTTGTCCATTGGTGCAGGCCACGGGTGGTTGGGTAGCCGCATGCCACGTAACAGTTTGCGCATGCTCGTGGTGCTGGGTGTAGTTGTTGCGCTCGTGTCGGTGGTGTATCGTTGATGAGGAGCGGTGTCGTTGAAGGACCAACAATTGGTGTTGACGTTCCTGTTGCTGCCGTTTATGGTTCTCCTACTGCCGATGTTGTCTCTGCTGCTGCCGATGTTGTCTGAATCGTTGCTAACGCCCTTGTTCTTTCTGCTTCGGGGATGGTGTGTGATACCAGAAGCCTTCTGGACTGAAGTCTAGATCAAGGTCTGGAGGGTGTGTCCAGTTGGTGAAGTTAACGATGGCGTCGCTGTCGGCGGTGCCAAGGTCAGGAACGAAATCAAGAACAAAGGCGTTGTTCTTGAGGACCGCTTTGCCGATGTAGAGACCTCCTCTCCCGTTATACAGCTTGAATTCTTGGGTGGTGCTGTCTGCTTCGAGGTGAATCCCCTTCGCCATTAGCTGACTGACGCTCAGTAAGTTGTAGCCGAGTCTCTCCGCGATTAGTACTTTTGACATCTGCAGTATAACGTTTGTTTCCCTTGACTGAAGTTGAACTACGCCTTGTCGTTGTGTTCGCAGGTATGATTGTTGGCGTTTGTAATGACAACTTCTCGTTGAAGTTGGTGTTCTCGTCGAACGAAGCGGCCCGAGGAGCACATGTGCTGTCCGCAGCAACTGTCCAAGAACGATGTGTCCCTCCCGGATGGTTCGCTTTGGGCGATGGCGGCGTTTGTCGGGTTCGGCTAAAGTGACTCGCGGCGGGGTGTGGTTTTGTCGAGTTGTTCTTCCGGTGAGTAGTGTGGTGGTGACTCGGTGATGCAGGAGTCACTCAGCTTTGCCATGCAGCTGACGATGTTTCTTGCTTTTTGTGCAGGTTGTCCTGTTGAGGTCGTTGAGGCTTGAATCTGAGTCGCGGGGTTTGCTTGCGTTGAGGCGATTTGGCTGCTTGAAGGTCGAAGTTGCCGCTGTGGAGTTGTTGACTGGTGACGATTCGTCCAGTGCGTACGTGGGTGTCCTGAAGTTTTGCAGATGTGGCAGAATGGAGGTACTGGCTTCGGTTCTTGCTGCCGGTTGTTGTTGTTGTTGTAGCGTCGCTGAGTGTGGAACGCGGATTCCGGTGGTGATGTCTTCTTTCTGTGTCGTTCTTCTTGCAGGTCCATGTCTTGCTGCTCGGCGTGGATTTCGGCGCAGAGCGCTGCTTCAAGATTCTTCCGTGAGCTCGGAGAATGGCCTTTGTGGCGCGCC